CTATTACCTTGTCAATACACAGGCGAAACTTTTATGAAGAATATTTTTTTTTTCGTTCAGGCCTTCGTTTTTCGTCAAATGAAAGCGAGGGGCTTTCCACTTCGGCAATAGGTGTACAAATTTTTCGGAAATGTTAGGAAATACTTTAGGCAATGTTGGAATTGTTTCGGCAATACCGGAAATGTTTCGGCAATGCCGACATTGTTTCGGCAATGCCGACATTGTTTCGGCAATACGGGCATTGTTTGGGAAATGCACGGCATTGTTTCGGAAATGGACGGCATTGTCTCGGAAATGCAAGGCAATAGCTCGATCAATTTATCCCCGTTTTAAAATAAACATTTACTAACACGTGTTTAGAGCGGTGTGTAGACTATTTAGAGCGGTGTGTAGACTGTGTAGAGTAGAAAGCTGTAAAATTAATGATAATTATTATTATTCTATTTTCGACTAGTTTATATCATGTTTTTTCAGCTCTGTTTGTATTATGCAAGATTATAGAATATAATCAAATATACCTAATAGCTAACTGCAGATAAAATATTCAGAACATTTGAGTCAATATAATTAGGTACTTTTATTTTAATTTAATTTACGTATTGTAAAGTTTGATTTTTTATTTGAAAGCTAATTTCATTAGTAATTTAATGAGTAGCATAAATTTGTTATTTTGATGAATTGCGATTAATAGGAGACATTCTTATGGCTATTTAAAATATGTTTCATTACATTATGTTTGGTTATATTGTGCATTAAATTACTAATCAAATTCAAATGAAGTTTAACATTTTACAATAGTTTTTTTATCTCGCTAGAGAGCTCTAAAATCAAAAGTACCGCAAGGAACAGTCATATTTCAGAATTTCCCATAATTACCGAATTAATTACCTTTTTTAATTGTAAACTACACAAATAATTAAATGTTTATTTTACGTATGAAGTTTATTAATATTAAAATAACGTTACAAAAATAATAATTATTAAAACAAATGGAATAACACAGTCTTAACAAAGAAATCGACTGCATTCCTCAACGGTGTTCGATAATCTGCCCATCCATTCCATATATTTGTCCCACTGACGTTGGGTTGTCTCTGCCCTGACCGCACGACCCTTTTCTCGGCGGCTGTGTTTATGATGTTTTTGGTTTCCCAGAAATCGTCTCCGGTTAAGGGACCATCCAAAAATAGATTACATAATAATGTGTCTTATTTTTTACTCTATTTAGATTGTATTTTTTTAGTTGAGATATGCTAGAAAAGTGTCCCATTTGAAAAAAAAACCTACCGGTTTTAGCAATTTTTGATATTTTTTTATTAAGAGATTGTCCATGGAAAATTTTTAAATTGATATCCTGTGTAGTAATGACTACCTACTATGTCTATGGTCGCGAGTTGTTTTTTAACATACTTCAAAAAAGGAGGAGGTTCTCAATTCATCGTAATATATTTTTTTTTAGTAAGTTCAGAGATAATGATTTCCGATGTCCGATTTCAATTATTGTTTTTTTTGTTTGAAAGGGGGTATTTCAGGGATGGTCCCATATTAATTTAGTCAAAATCATAATATAATTGGGTCCATTAGAAAATCCCCAGACTCTTCATTTTTAATTCTTTACCACCTTGTCCAATTTCGGATTCTTTTTTGTTAGTGTTCCAGGGGCGTTCCCATATAAATTTGGGTAAGATGTGGTGACGGCATTTGCACGATTTTGAAGTCGGTTTTTTAAAATTATATTTAATACTTGTTCCGGTTAAAGCCTGTGTGCTCATCAGCTCACCTATCTATTAATTGCCATTGCAATCAGTGTTGACTGATTTAATGTTTCTATGGTAGATTTAGTGTTTGGGTCACTTTTATCCTGTTCTAGTGTTTTGTTATTAAAAATCTATTGTTTTCATTGAATCTTATTTTTTACTGAACTGAAATACGAAATTTGCACTTTTCCTCAAATATCTCGAATACGGTCCATTTTAGGGAAATCATGTATAGAATAAAAATTATAGAGAATGACATCATTTTAGGAAAATTATGTATACGTCAAAAATTATAAAGAATGATATTCTTTAATTTTAAAAATGACACTATGAAGTACCCCCGGATGCTTCGACTATCCCCAAAATTTAATTAGCTCACCACATGATGAATTAAAGCTTAAGCTCGAGCTCAAGTTTAAATATTGGTATTTTTCTCTTTAATCAATGTACGAGTATAACTTCTTTGAAATTTGCACTTTTTTTCAAATATCATGAATAAGATCCATTGTAGGAAAAATATGTGAGGACAAAAATTATAGAGAATGACATCACAAGAAACTTTTATTTAAACAGTTTTCTTAAAAATTAGGATTTTGCACCTTTTGTCAAATTTCCCGAATAGGGACCATTTTAGGAAAATTATGTCTGGGGCGAAAAATGTAGAGAATGATTTCATAAGTAATTTTCTTCGCCAAGCTTAAATAACAAATATATTCTATAAAGTAGAAAAATGACCGTGTATAAAGTGCTTCCCCCAGATGTTCCGACTATTCCTAAAATTTAATCAGCTTACCACAAGGGAGATTAAAGCTTAAATTTAATTTTCACTTAATCCGTTCATGAGTTATCGAGTATACAACACATACACACATATAACTTTGCGAAAATAGTCACAACGAATTCAGGGGACCTCAAAACGTAAAAATCCGTCAAAAACTCGAGGTCGAAAAAAATCATGATTCCTATACTTTCCTTATCTGTATACAGTTAGGAAAGTAAAAATGTCCTAATGAACATACATTTTCATAATTTTAGCTTCCTGAAGTAAAAAAAAAATAGTTCGATAATACAATACGTATAGTCGGCAATGTGTAGGAAATGCTGGCAGTGGTTCGGAAATGCCGGCAATGGTTCGGAAATGCCGGCAATGGCTCGGAAATGCTGGCAATAGTTGAGAAATGCCGGAAATGTTTCGGCAATGCAGGAAATGTTTCAGAAATGCCGGCATTGTTTAGGAAATACGGCAATAGGTGTACAAATTTTGAACAGTGGAAAGCCCCTCGAATGAAAGGTATATTTATAAAAGAAGTTTTTTTAACCAAATTTTTCGACAGCCAAAATAAGTTTTAATCTACACCATACTTATATTGTAAAATACATAGGTAATATTATTTTGCGCTATTGTGGAATATTTTTCGGTTCCTTTGTCTTCAACTTCGCGCGTTAAAGTTTAGAATATGCATCCCTCGTATCTACATGCAATGGGCCCGTTCACTTTCATTTTTGAATGTGAATTAATTATATATTTATAAAGATATTAAACTCTTTTGTCTGGTGGTACTTTTCCCGTTAAGATATTCTTGCCAGAAGTAAGGGAATTCCCATAAAATTTTCAGTGACTCATTGCGTCAGAAAATCCCTGATTCCGTTCACGTCTCGTATCGGTTATGCTTAAAGACGGCGGGGTTGTCGGAAGTATCCCTAATATAGCATTTCTGCATTTATATATGTAATTTAAATAGTAAAATTCCATTATTTTTCTAAAAATCATGAACTTATATTTTCAGATTTAAAGCTGGGAGCTTATTTTTTACTTTTTAATTAAAACAATTATTATTACTCGGGCTGAAAATTAACCAGACCATAATCAAAAAGTAGAAATTTGATTTGCAATATTTATCTGGTAAACGTGGCAACGTTGCATTTATTTCTAGAAGTGTGTGTAGACAACACTATTTAGAAGTACTTACAACGTTGTCACGTTTACCAGATACATTTTCTCAAATAAAATTTCGATCTGGTAATATTCAGCTTGAGTAATACTAATTGTTTTTATTAAAATTTAGAAAAGGTAGGGCCTACAGCTTTATCTGAAAATATAAACACATTATTTTTAAAAAATAATATATTTTTATCATGTAAATTTCTTTAATAAATGCAGAAGAGGAATGGTGGTGCAATGATACATCCGACAACCGCGCCCTTTTAACTATTAACCGATACGAGACTTGAAGAGAATTAGGGGTTTTCTGACGCAATGAGTCACTGAAAGAATTTTATGGGAATTCCCTTACTTCTAGCAAAAATATCTTAACAGGAAAAGTACCACCAGACAAAAGAGTTTAATATCTTTATAAATATATAAATAATTCACATTCAAAAATAAAAGTGAACGGGCCCATTGTTAAAATTATGAATGAATGCTGATTTTGTTTGATCTCGAAAGTAATTTTGTAGTATTTAGGCTCCACCCTTAAGTTGTAATTTTTATACCTACTAAACTATCGTTGCTCCGCAGGTCTTTTAGTTTGTAATGTAAATTTTCCTCTTAATAGGAATTTTTTTTTTTTTAATTATTTTGTATTTAAATCTTACAATGTGATAAAAGGATGTTCACTTATCTTTTGTAATAAAATATATAAAAAAAAAAAATACAAAATTTTATTAAAATAGTATTGTAAATACACTAAATGCCTGTATTTTCTAGATGGGGGCAAATAATTTTTAACTTTACGTAATTTGCAATATGGAGAATATACCTTACAATTAAGGTACGTTTACATCTGACATTTATTGCATGAAATTTATATCTGACAGTTGGTTATTCCAGTGAAAGCACACAAAAATTTCTCTCAGAGATATATGTTTCAGTGTTTACACTGGACTAAACAACTGTCAAACAATAAATGTCGGATGTAAACGTACCTTTAGTTGAAAATAATAGAAACATTTACATATATCTCTTTCTGTTATGTGCATGTTCCTATTAAACTTTGTTCAACTCATTGTAAGGTATAATTTCAGTGTTAAAAAATTCCGTATCTGTATGTAAAATGTTTGCTATTATTTTTAAAAATACAAAATTACTTATCTCCCTCTACCTCAGCATTTAATTCCAATTAGATACCCTATTCATAGATTAATCATGCTTGTATGAAACTGCACAACAAAATGTATCAAAATAAATTAAATATTTACATCTGCAGTAAAAATATTGTATGAATTGTAAATTTTAATTCTTACCTTAACTTCTTCTATGGGCGTATTGTCGGGAATCTCGCGCAAAATCACAATACATCTTTTATGGTTAGGACGAACTTTCACCCCTTCTTCATCAACCTGAACGTTCGGCGATTCGCGTAAAACCTCGGTGATCAGTTTGATGTCTTTGGTTAACTTTTTAACCTGATTGAAATTCGCTACCGTCCATATCGGCACATACTGGTCGTTGTCCATTTGCGACAATAGGTATGTGTCGTTCGCTAAATTTTCTCTGAAACAACAAACGCAATAATCAATTCGTTATTTTCCTACTGTCAAACGTATAGTTTTATTTTTTATGATCAACAAAAGAAATATATCTGATAAGTTTTTAATTATTATACTCCTACAAGATATTGTTAAAATAACAATGACAAAGTTTCTGCTGGTATATAAATATTTTGTGTATTACACGGATTATACAGGAAAGTCATCAATGCGCAGATTACATTAAAATATAGTCCAGAAAGCAACCAACTTAATATATATATAAAACATATTAAGAGTAACTACATATTTAGCTGAGTTTTATTTTAATTTTATCACTATATTGTAATTAATAATTGTATTTTTGTATTTAATTGTATTTAATTGTATTTTATCGTATTTTATCGTATCTTATCGTATTTTATTGCATATCGATTTTTAGGACCAAAAATCTTTAATAACATTCCAACGGAGCTCCGAAAAATAAAAACAATAAAAAAATTTAAAAGATATGTAAAAGAATTTATAGCAAAAACACCGCGAATTTTTTTCCGTAATATAATCGAATAAAAAAATAGAAATTAAATAATTGAAAAGTATATTTAAACGTTAAAGAATCTGAATATTTTTAAAATGTTTTTTGTCTATGTAGAAGTAATGTTTGTTATATGAGATACTTATGCCGAGGTATATTGTAATAGTATATTACATTACGAGTGTGGAAAGTGACATTTTTCACACGAGTGGGAAATATTGTCGCACGAGACGCAAGCCGAGTGCGACTATCACACGAGTGTGGAAAATCACTTTTCACACAAGTGATGTACAATATTTTTCCTACGACCACAAAATAATGTCATCAAAAAATGTAAAACCAATATTATTATTACTATAATAATTAAAATGTATTTAAAAAAATAATCAACAATAATCGTATTTGTTCAATTTTCATATTTTCTAAACAAAAAAAAAACTAAAAAAAAAAAAAATTCTGCCCCGCCAGGATTCGAACGCGGTCGAAAAATGGCAAAGTTGATAAGTTCGACGTCCTAACCACCTGAGCTAATAGCCCTTGTGTCAATTGAATGATCTAATCGGTTATGTATTTAACCAGAATAAAGAGCAAACATTATTTTAAAATTATTTTAATAATAATTGTTAAAGATAAATATCTAGGATCTAATTTACAACAATTTCAATAATTTAACAATCATATCGATTTTAGTATTAATATGGACATTACATGGATCAGAATAGAAATTAGGTGTTTGACATTTTGTGACAACTACTGCGGAAAGTAACATATTCTCACTCGGGTGGAAAGTAAATTCTTATTCATACGCGTGTGATATAGGGCACTTTCCATAGGACTATATAGTGTGACATGTGTCACTTTCCTAAGTGGTCGTAGGAAAATAAATTTTACTTAATATAAAATCAAAAGTGTAAAAGATTGTATTTATATAATCTTTATTTATATTAATAATTTGTATTTTAATGGACCATGTTCACATGTGAGATATGCTGTTTTATAAATTATATTGTAATAGTTAGTCGCTATACAAGTTATTCTAAATAATCAGTTCGTTAAAAAAGCCAAAAGTTTTTAAATTAAGTCTAATTTAAATTTAAAATTTGAAATATATACGTCATCGGGAATAGACCAATCAGCTTGTGTCGAAGTTTTTTTTGTTATACAAAACCAAGCCAACGAACAAAGCGACACATAGAATGTCGAAGTGAACGCACATCTTAGTGACACTTAAAATCATGGAGACTACACAAGGAGCACGCACTCAAGTGTGGCATTTGCCAGAGTATGTCCGCGCTTTATCGTATAAATAAAGCTTTCTTTTTCACCATTAGCGTCGCTAATTTTTCTTTTGTACCGGTGTAAATATAGAGGAATAAACAAATGTGAAGTTAGCGTGAAAATAAAGTAACCGATTATTTAATTATCGTAAACACGTGTCAAATGTTTTTAAATTAAATAAATATAATTAGAGTTATAATTAATTAATTAATAATTAATTAGAATTATTTATTTTATTTCAAACTACCGCCTCATTATCTTATGCCATTTTGGTACTTATGGAACAATAGCGCCCTCTTAAAATACTCTGTTTAACACAGTACGCTTGTTATACATGGAGTGCGTGCTCCTTGTGTAGTCTCCATGCTTAAAATTGACACCACCTAGACCACCTAACCTAACATTCGTTGTTGTTATTTCTTTTGTCTTTGCTAATTGGCTTAATTTTATTATTAATATGAATTTCAAGGGCGGTTTCTCCATTGGTTCATTTGTGCAGTGAACACCCAGTTAAATTTCATAAAAACACATTATTTTAATATTACATAAATAACATAAAAATATAAATTTAATTTTAATATTTTTATTTTCATACGTATTAATCTATATTTTTTTGGTACATCATTGTCCTCTGGTTGATCGCGTCTCTGTGGCACAGTATACCTAAGTATACTGTGTCTGTGGCGCACTATGATGAGTGAGCCTAACACGAGTGAGACGATATGCCGAAATGCATAAAGCTAAAAAGAGAAGACAACACGCTGACAGATCCTTCAAACTGTCAAAGAATACATTAATTGGCGCACCGCTCACAAACAAGGTTGCCAAACCAGTGTTGCCAGTCTAGTACAATTCACAATTGTACTAGATGTAGTACTTTCTGCGTGCATCAGTGTTCACGTGTAAAATATATATTTATATATATTGTGTTCCTTGTTTGGGTTCATTATCAATAAAGACCCCCTTTTTTCCCTTTCAATGAATTAGATGTCATTGCAAATAGAATTCGAAAAATCTGATACATTTAAGGAATCTGGTACATTTTTTAGACAAATCTGGTACATAACAAAAACATATTCTGGCAAAACTGTATCAAATCAAACAAATTGTCACTGTCATTAGTTGTCACTCCTCTACTATTAAATACAAAAAAAACGTAAGATTATATTAATTGTGCTTATTTAAAAAAATGTGTTTAATTAAGAACTGTGTCTTCAATAAATTGAAAGATGTGTGCCAATTCAACGATTGTTCCCGAAAGGCAAGTTAAATTAAAATTTTTAAGGTTATGTTGATTTATTTACATATAATAAATTTTTACGACTCTAATTTGTATTATATTTTGTTTTAGTGTCTAAGAACATCCAAGGACTACTTCAAAATGGTCTATTTTGTATTCAATTTTAAATACTATGAAGAAAGAAGTAAGCAAAAAAAATTGTAAATTTTTTTTATCACAAAACCTGCTAAAAGGAAAAATTGAATTATTCTGATGAGGTCACTAGACATCACTATGAAAATGTACAATAAAAATTTGATAAAGATAAAGATACAAATGGTTTTTCACTTTAAAAGTCTGAATCGAAAAAATGGATTAAGGAGTTAATTTAATATACTCGATGAGAAATTTTACCTAAGAAATGGTATGTACATTTATAGTATATTACATTACGAGTGTGGAAAATCACTTTTCACACAAGTGATGTACAATATTTTTCCTACGACCACAAAATAATTTCATCAAAAAATGTAAAACCAGATTATTATAATAATTAAAATGTATTTAAAAAAATAATCAACAATAATCGTATTTATTAAATTTTCATAATTTCTAAACAAATAAAAAAAAATAAAAAAAAAATAAAAAAAAAATTCTGGCACAGCCAGGATTCGATCGCGGTCGTTGGACGGTCTCAAATTGCAAAGTTGATGCTCTAACCAACTGAGCTAACAGGCCTTACGGTAATTGATTGATCTAATCGCTTATGTGTTTAACCAGAATAAAAAGCAAATATATCTTAGTTATTTTAAAATTATTTTAAAAATAATTTTTAAAGATAAATATCTAGGATCTAATTTACAATAATTTAACAATCATATCGATTTTAGTATTAATATGGACATTACATAGATCAAAATAGAAATTATGTGTTTGACATTTTCTGACAGCTACTGCGGAAAGTAGCATATTCTCACTTGGGTGGAAAGTAAATTCTTATTCATACGCGTGTGATATAGGGCACTTTCCATAGGTCTATATAGTGTGATATGTGTCACTTTCCTAAGTGGTCGTAGGAAAAATAGTTTACCTATATAAAGTTATGTTTGCCTGCAATTATCAATCCTGTTACCCAGAGCTGTTACCTATCGGTGAGATTTAAATCATTTTTTGATTTAAATACATTTTTTGATTTAAATACTTTGATTTTAAATCTTTTTTAAAAAAATGATTTTTGATTTATGATTTAAATCTTTCCGAAAAGTATCTTTGATTTTTTATTTAAAAATTTGATTTAAATCTTTTTAAAACGATTTAAATCTTTTTAAACGATTTAAATCATTTTAAAACGATTTAAATCATTTTAAAACGATTTAAATCTTTTTAAAACGATTTAAATCTTTTTTTTTTGTTTAAATCTTTCTGAAATGATTTAAATCTTTTTTAAGATTTAAATCTTTTTAAAACGATTTACATCACCTGATTCGTCAAAATCGTTATCAACCTGTCTATTCCTGAATAATAATCTAGCCAGCATGTCAGTAGGGTTGAATCAGAAATCCGGGAGAAAAGAAAAACAAAACATAGTAAAGTGCAACAAATAATTGCAATAACTAAAGATTATTCTTAAGAAGGTCTTTTCGCCACCAATGTTAAATAAAAATTATCAAATTATGACTAAAATTAATTTTTTTCTAATAGTTGAAGTCCTTATTTATCTAATAGTGAACTTTTAACTAGGTATACTTCACCGTGCAAATTTTTAAGAATTTTTTTTTTTAAATGTGAGTATTTGTACAGTGTCTTACGAGAAAGTCAGACCTCAACAACAATTCTCGAATTATACTATTATTTATTGATAAAATGGAGTAGAAAAAAACTAAAAATAATGTTTTTGAAATATTTAGGTTTTGTTTTTTACAATAAAATATATAGGTTACCATGGAATTTATTGAGAAATTAATATTAAAAAAATCACAAAAAATTTTCAAGT